TGCTCTTGACAATAAAATCCAGTTGTGGCTGTGTGGCTTAAACATCCCATGCATACCATCTGAGGACACAAACTTCCACTGTTAAATTTGTATTTACCACTAAATGACATTCTAGGAAAGCAGCTCTCCACTCATCTCTAAATCTCGTGATTCATCTTTGTATTCTTGGAGCCACCAAAGTATATTCATACAGTCATGAATACACTGCTCTTTGTGTGGGACCATGACATAAAAATTTTATGGATTTCCATAATTCTTAGCATCTCTGGTTTATTGCAAACTGATTTTTTTTTCTTTTATTTGTTTGATTTCAGGGCATTTTTATCCTGCTGTGTTACATGGTTATTCTTCTACAAGCAATGTACAATAATGTAGTACTTTTGTAACTTTAAGGTGATGCCATACGTTGATTTTGTACTTCGAACCAAAAAAAACAACAAAAACAGTTCAGCTTTAATATGTTTCATAGCGTCTCAGAGTCAGTGATGTGCATGAACCGGTTTGGCTAGCGATGCCATTTTCAGAGCATAGTCAGGTGCCTGAAGCTACATAAACGCTGCTCTCTCCTCTGTGTTGCAATGCTTTGTTTTGCCTTTGTTCCGCTTCATTCGTCCTTTTGCTTTTTCTTTTTAGATGAAGAGTGGACATCACTCACTACATTCTGAAAAACTGAAGAAATAATAAGAATAATAAGAAAAGCAGTGTGTAGCTATGGCAGCAAAAACTAGGGCACATATATTATTGTAATATATTCAGGAGCATACTGAGTGTCTCTGTGTCTTTTTACAGAATTTATCCAAAAATCTGCTGCGCCATTTTCCCACACAATAAAAGGCAGAGCCCAGGATTTGGGTTAATAAAGTAAATTTAGGCAAATATTCCCAGAAATCTTGTTATCTTAAAGGATAAGCAGGATAATAAAACAGATGTTCGGCTTTATAAAACCTGGAAAGCTACCGCCAGCTTGACTTTGTTTTTTAGGGTCATGGTAAATACACATTTTATCCAGCGCTGTTCTGCTGCTGACTCAGTACAATAAAGAAACATATTCCACATATTAATCTAAAACTTGCATTTTCCTCCCTCTGAATGTTTCTATCTTTATGTTTGTCTGTGATGGTGTATTTAATGAAGCTGTGTGTGTGGCGGCATTAAATAGGTGGGCGTAGCGCGGTAATTTGCGTACAGAGTCTCTGGTAACACAGGACTGCAGTTAAAGAGAGCAGGAGTGTGTGAGCTTGTTAATGGAAGAAGTCTGAAGAGGCAGTGCATGCTGAATATGGATGAATGGAAAGTGTATAGGTCAGTAGGCAAGCGACAGCATATTCATGACCACCTTTGTCACCTTTCTGCTACATAAAGGAAGGTATTATGCTTGGTTATTTTGTCTCTGATTCATTTATGCGTTTACTGTTTAGAGCTTCCCAGATTTATTTTAAGTGTTTATTTTGCAGCTAAGAGAAAGACAAGAATGCTTGTGTCCCAAGAGAAAACCCACAGTGAGGAGGAAATAAAATGATCCCAGCATAAAAACTAAAAGCATCAACTCATGGATGTAAATGCCGCTGTATACTTGGTCTATGGAGTTCAGTTTCAGTGGGTGACGTCTGCCATTTTGGTCTCTGCCATATAAGTATTATTACATGTTTTTAATCATACATGACAATCATTGGTGAATGTAACTGAAAACCAAGAGACACTAAACTAAACTAATCGTTACCAAGACAATAAACTCATTTACCATAATTTTCACGGTATAAGTCGCTTTATCTGTGCATAAATTAGCATGCCTGCGACTTATACAATGAAGAAACATATTTATATATTTTCCCCATAATTGTAACCCAATTTTTGGCTGAGACCTGACAATTTTATTAATTCTGACATGGAAAATATTGAACAATACCATTTTCAGCCACTAGAGGACACTCAACTAATCCAAGTGTCTCATTAATAGGTAAAAGTGGCTATTAATGAGACACTTGGCTTGCCATACAGAGCCACCTTAGTCTCGCTCCAGAACTCCTGAAGCAAACGTCAAAATCTTCTTATGTGTTACTCATTGCATATATGACAAAATTTCTTAACGAAGATCTTGAAGTAGTTGTCTTACAGTCTGTGTTTAATTTCATTTTCTGTTAAACAGATGTATTTATGCATTTTTATGAGCTCTGGTATTTATTTAGCCATAATTTAAAATGACCTTTGTACCATTATTGCCTCTGTAGATCTCTTTTAGTGTCATTGTTTCCAGTATTTTCCACACCACCTACATCCCATTAGTAATCAGCATATCTCTAATCGTTCTGCAGTCATCACAGAAGTACATATACTCGCTAGTGTTTCTCACTTCTTAGTCAGAGTCTCTTGTTTCTGTGAATTCTAGTTAATCCCAATATTGCTTCTCTTCCCCCTGCCTCTTTTGTTGTGTCCATCAACAACCTTCTACTATGAAGTGTAACAGGTTGGTGGTTCATTAAGGACAATCATCTAATTAAGTTTCAGTAAATAATATTGACTTTCCTTAAGAGACACAATACACAATAAAATCCAAAGAAGATGTTTTACTGGCAACATTATTCTAGTGTAATTCTAAATTTCTAGAGATTATTGCAATGAAATAAATGTACAGAAGCAACTTTTTTCTCCTAAGTATAAAATGTTTTCTAAAACTAAATTCTGTAACATGTATTCGCTCAAAGCTACAACTGTGCCATTGAAAGTATGGGTCTGTAAAGCTAGGTGGGCTTCATTATTTTCAGCACTGACATGGTGCATTTGCACCAATGACAAAGGTAAAAGGTAGATTCCAGAGGTTCCCAACCCTGGTCCTTGAGGGACACCATCCTGCATGTTTTACTTTTTTCCCTGATTTGACTTGCCTGATTTGAATGAATGGGTGATTAACGGGCTTCTGCAGAACTTGAAGCAGAAACAACTGAAACATGCATGATGGTGTTCCCCAGGGGTCAAGGTTGGGAACCACTGGATTATACAAATTTGCTTGCATTTCTCGCTCTATTTCAATAGTGCTCTGCTGCAGTGTTTTACCTGCAGCTGGTTGGACAACAAACTAAAAGCAACGAAAACAGGAAGTGCAACTTAGTCAATACGATCACACCAAACCTCACGAAAAGCTTTCAGTTGTGCAGCAGAAAACTAGAAGTGATCTCCCGGCCGTTCTTCTTTCTCGTGGCTGAAAGTGTCATTTAACGATTGTTCACATGTTTTACCTGAGTTGGGAGTATTTTTTCTTGTTACAGAATGTAAGCACGGTGAAGCCATCAGAAACTAATTTGGTCTAGTCCAACATTTTTCAGTCAGGTCATCTGGACTGTTTCTTTTTTTTGTGTGTGCTGAAACATTTTGCCTTCTGTCTGGAAGGCTTCATCAGTCAAGGAAACACACAACAAAACTGATTCTTTCCCCAAAAGGTTACTCCAAAGTGGAACAAACCAGTTCTGCTTGTGATAAGATGGTCTCTTTGGTATGCCCCCTCCTCCATTGCCAGCCCTCTTCCTTGTTGACAGTCTTGTCAAACTAGTTGAAAACATCAAAGTCCATGCTCAATAATCCAGGTATACAATCTAACAATTTTCAGTCAGGTATATGATAATTTGGTCTAGTTTTATTACTATCTTGCCCCATGCTAAAACTTAATCTGCTTCAAGTTGGTAGTGTGCTGTGTATGAGAGTTTGAAATCTATGTTTGCACAAATATCAGGTATTCTCATCAACTTGTAAAATAATAAGCCCCTCATCCATCCATGCTTAAGGATCCACCGAATTCTTAAAAATCAGTATTTCTCTATTGCAGTCGTTTCCTGAAGCAAAGTCACTGTTTTGCCTCTAGTTCCTGTGGTTAAAAGATTGTTTATTCAAAATGTTTCTTGAATGAAATGCCCTTTAAGTACAGATTTATTTTGTGTTTCTGAAGTTATGCAGATATGTAGTGGCAAGATTAGTTTCAGAAGCAAACTTACAGATCTAACCACACAATCAGATTCAGACATCACATATTTTAAAATATCAACTTAACACGCCCATGAAGAGGACCATCTCTTAACCCTTGACCACCTAAGCCTCAAATTTTCTGCCTGATAGGCTTGTACAAAATGTGTCATCAATTACACGGTTGCAATAAAAGGGTTACTATCTCGTTACTGCTATCTGTTTTGCATGCTGCTCATTGCATGAATTGGTGTCATGGTGCACCACATTTTTGCATAGCAAGAAGAACAAAAAGAAAATTAAAAATTAAAAACCAACAACGGTGAAACGTATTCACAAGCAGCAAGAAAAAACAACTTGTTTTTCAAGTTAAAAGGATTGCTTTGTGCATAAACTTTGCTCAACTGCAGCATGCTTGAAACCAAAGTGAAAACTTAGATGTTGAGGTTCTGTCAGATCAAGACAATTATCTCTTGAGCATTGTGGCTCACTTTTGAAGTTATGGCTTAATAAGGTTGCAAAGACTGTTAATGCAAGTGTGACCCATTTCTGAATGATTGAACGTGTTAAAAGATTGATCAAGTCATTAATATTATGCCTCTCACGAGTGAAAGGGGCTTAACTGACCCATCCCGGATTCACTGTTTAATCTGTGCAAGTGCATAAAAAACAACAGTTTGTTGCATCCATCAAGCATGTCCTTGTCCTTGACAAAAACTGGTTGCTAATTGAAGAGGGATTAATAAGTTGTTTAAACATCTGTCTTATTATGTCATAAAATAGGTGTTTTTGTCATTTGTTTGGTGTATTTATTGAAAAGTCAATATGCTATGCAAATTGTGACTGACCAAAAGTGTGAAGATGTGAAAGGAGCCTTCATGTATGGTTGTGTAGGAGTCAGATTAGAATAGTAATGAACTTTTCTTCTGACACTCCAAATTATAATTTTCCAAATTATTGAACTGTTTCTTCAACACCCAGGTTAAAGATGGGGCAGAAAATGTCAAAACATCTCCTAACTGCTTCTTCTCTGTCTTATGTGTTGACAGGCCTTCTGTTGTTGGGGAGACACCTCACAAGAAAGGAAGCAGGAAATATTTTATCCTGAGGATCAAGAACAATAGGCCAAACATCAAGCTGAGGTGGACGGTTGCAGAAGCCAAACAAGGGCACCTAACTCCAAGAGTCATGTGGGAGGACAGTAAATGGGATTTGTTATTTGCATGTGTCAAGAACAAATACTTTCTCTGCTGACATACAGTGAAGTTCTCCCAGCCTTCTGTCAGAGCTTTTCCTCGGGGGGAGTCCCTGCTATGAACCCCAGCTCCGTTGGCTTCAGCAGGCAGTCCAAGCTCAGTGCAAGGCACTGTGTGGGCATCCCACTGGTCTGGGTTCTGCCCACACAGAACTCACAGACTGCCCCGTATGAAAAAGAATTAAATATTCCTGAGTCACTCCTCCGTGTGGTGACTTTACTAATTGTTACAGTGATTCGTTGCTAAGTTTTTCCTGCCTGGTCCCCCTTCAAACTCCAGCTCTTCTCCCACCGCCTTTTGACTCACCACTTCATTTTAGTTTGATTTCCCATCCAGCAGCAGCACGAGTTCCTTTGTGTTTAACACGTGGTGGAGGACCATGGGATGCCGTCAGAGCTCGGAGGAAAAGGAGGCAGCGCGGCGGTCGAGGCGAATCGACCGCCACCTGCGCTCAGAAAGTCAGCGGCAGCGGCGTGAGATCAAGTTACTGTTGCTGGGCACTAGCAACTCAGGCAAGAGCACCATTGTCAAACAGATGAAAATCATCCACAGCGGTGGCTTCAACCTGGAGGCGTGCAAGGAGTACAAGCCTCTCATCCTGTACAATGCCATCGACTCGCTCACACGCATCATCCGTGCCCTCACCACCCTGAAGATAGACTTTCACAATCCGGACCGGGCCTACGATGCCGTGCAGCTCTTTGCACTCACAGGGCCAGCTGAGAGCAAAGGGGAGATCACTCCAGAGCTGCTGGGGGTAATGAAACGTCTATGGTCAGATGGAGGGGTCCAGGAATGCTTTCTGCGGTCCAACGAATACCACTTAGAGGACAACACTGCCTACTACCTGAATGACCTGGACCGCATCTCTGCAGTCGAGTACATCCCCACCGTAGAGGACATCCTGCGCTCCCGCGATATGACCACAGGCATCGTGGAGAACAAGTTCACCTTCAAGGAGCTCACCTTCAAGATGGTGGACGTGGGTGGGCAGCGCTCAGAGAGGAAGAAGTGGATTCATTGTTTCGAGGGCGTGACAGCAATCATTTTCTGTGTCGAGCTCAGCGGCTATGACCTCAAACTTTACGAGGACAACCAGACGGTGAGACAAATCTGCACACACTGATAAAGTCAACCAACTGTAATTAAAAATGTACCTTTTATATTTTGTTTGTACAGCTTACTTTTTTTAATTCATGGCTGAATCGTAGCTGCTCATAAAAACATGATTTGCCATTATCTGCGTTGGGAACACAATTTGAACAGAAATTACAGAGAATAATAATTGAAACAGATGATTTATTACTTCTCAGAAGCAAGTAGTGCAACCTATTATTCTGCTGTGTCATTTCCTCTCTGGAGATCCCCATCTGCATTAGAAACAAGACCTACGTGGTCACACTCACACACACAGGAACACAGAAAATCAGATAGAGCGTTATTTTTAATTAACGGCTGATAAGTTTTCAAAACGATCTTTAAAATTCTCCTCAGAATTGCTGTGGGATAAAATTGGGTTTAAAACGAGGTGCTGGAATCAGAGCTTTATTTTCAATTGGCTGCAGTAAAATGATTTTTAGACAAACTGTATTCAGAAAAGTGATCACAATAACACGAATATAGAAAATGATCTGTTTTTATCACCTCAGAATGAGTTCTTTGTTCCAAAAACCTGTTGTTTTCTTACGGCTCGCCAATTACAACAAGCACGTATTGTGTGTGACCATCATAGATCAATTTTAATGGAGTATTTAGAGGCTATTAGAGCCTAATGGCTTCAGCTACAATCCCCACATTCTACACACAGAAAAACATGTATTTTAACCACAAATCTATATGTTCAATGCAAGAAACTTGGGTTATGTGTGCTACAGCAACTAAAAAAATCCCCAACGAGCTGTTTTACTTTTTTTTAATCATGTGACTAAAACAAAGAGTCTTGTGCTTCTGTATCTGCAAGCATGACTTAAAAGCAACTTACCAGCATTTAAAAAGTCCTACTGGTTGAAAAGTAGATGGACTGGAATGAGAGATACAATTTGTTTTCTTGGTGAAACATGCATGGCTTGACCGGATTGTTTTTACTGGAGCGGTTTGCAGCCGAGTGTCAAGCAGTTTCAGAAAATGGTGGACTGGCTTCTCTCGGGTGAGAGGGAGAAGCCAGTCCACCATTAAGCATCTTTTTTTCTTTTTCATGAGTAAGGGAAAAATGGTGCGTGAGATGAACAGACGGATTGGCGCAGTATCACAGTATTGTGGACTATGTGCTGGTCCTCTGTGATGAAGAAGAAGCTGAGCTGTAAGGAGAAGCTCTCTGTTTAACAATGGGTATACGTTCCTACTTTCACCTATGGCTACAAACTCTGGGTAGTGACCAAAAGAACAAGATCTCTGATAGAGGTGGTCAGTATGAGTTTTCACCACAGAATAGCTGGAATTTCCCTTAGAGATAGGGTGAGAAGTTTAGATATCCTGCAGAGACTCTGAGTAGAGCCCCTGCTCCTCCTCATTAACAGGAGCCAGTTAAGGTGGTTAGGGCATCTGGTAAGGATGTCACCTAGTTGCCTTCCTTGTGAGGGTTATGGGGCATGTTCAACTGAGAGGAGACCCCAAGGAAGACCAAGGAAACGCTAGAGAGACTGTTTCTCTGCTGGTCTCAGGACACCTTGGTATCATAGAAGAGCTGGAAGAGGTGACTGAAGGAAGAGATGTTTGGGCATCCCTGCTCAAGCTGCTGCCACCTTGAACTCTGGAACAAGCAGAGGATACTGAATGGAATGACTTTTAAAAAATAGGTTAGAACAACTATTGTTTTCAACAGCTTTTATTGAAGTAGTTTGAAAAACAAGTGTCCTTGTGTCCAAGTAGAGTTTACTTATAAGAAGCTACTGAACGTTTTCAGTGGGTTAGTGATTCAGTGTTTTGTAATTTTAAACATATAGCAAATATTGACTTTAATAAATTAGTTTAACATGTTCCCAACCTAGTCATTTATTTCATTTTTCAATAATAAGCTATTTAAAATGTATACCTCAAGCACTCAAAGTCTTTTTTTTTTTTTTGGAGGGGATTATTTCCAGACTGCTTATACAAGTGCATTAATTAAATAAAAATGGTGAAATACTTTTACTTTAATGTCTTAACAATGAAAGCTATTTTGGACCACATGTGGAATTTGAAGGATTTCCTATCAATAACATTTTCTTATCTGTGTGTTTTGGAATAACTGAGCAGTTATTGCTTGTTTAACTGCCTTCACGATAAAGAAAAATCAATGTTTTGCACTTATCAAGTTGTAACTAAGAAGGGTTGGTTTTCCTTTCTTTAATGGTATGATCACTATTCCTTCCTGATGGACTTCCAGCATCCAAGTTTATCTTGACGTCTTGCAGCAACTCTAGAAATAGCTTTGAGCGCAGCAGAAACTTTGTCGTCCTCACTGAAACAGAACTGACCTGATAATTCACAGACTACCCGGATATAAAGCAGGGATGAAGAGGAAGCCAGGCTGGAACATGAAATCAATTAATTGTATAGGTTAAAAATAAAAGTCTGAGGAGGAGAATGCATTATGGTGTTAATTGAGTTCACAGAATAAAGTGTGAGGTTGTACCTGTGAGAATTAGCAGATTGTGCAGGCGCAATGTAGCTTCAGAAGTTAACTGGTGCAAAGGAAAACAACTTTTAGTCAAAGATAGGTAAAGCAAAAAAAGGGAAGGGACTTCAAAGTATCTGAAGGAACCTTTTAGAAAGTATGTAAGCAAACATTTGTTTTCATTGCAGTGTAAGGTCTTATGACTAATCATGTTGATAGCTGCTTTTTGGAACGAGTCAGCTTCATTATGCACCACTTTTGTTATTTTATGTAGTTTAAAAAATAAACCTCCTTTTAAACATGTCAAATAAGTTTTTATTTTGGGGTTTAAGGATAGTATATCACAATGCACTGTTATAAATGCAAATAAGTTTTTTTCTTTGGCCAGACTATTGCATGAGGTCTTCACCCTCCTACTGCCCTCGGGTCAAAATGACCCATAAGACCTCAGTTTTGAACCTGTGGGTCATTATGACCCAAGGACAGCAGGAGGTTAATGTATATATCTCTGTTTACACTCTACACATTTTCTATCTTTGTATTTTCATTGCCAGTTACTATTAGATTTAGCTGATGAGCATGTTTGCATAAGGATTTTCCTTGATTTGAACGTTAATGCTAACCTTTCATTACATTTGTTATATATAATAGCGAACCCACTACATTAATCTTGTGTTTCATGAGAGATTAAGGCCTGTGATCAGCGAAAAGTGTGACATATATCACCTAAAGTCTGTCACCCAATCCACTCATTGTGAGGTCAAAGTGTAAATTAATGAGGGCCATCAAATTTACTTGTTAAAAATACAGCACATATCCCCTGGGGAGGAAAAAAATGCAGAAATGGTTGTAAAATTTCTCCAAGAAAGTTATATTTCATGCACACAACAGTGAGTTAGCTTGTTATCTGCGTTCACTGATTGGAAACCACAAACAAAGCAAATATTGTATTAATGCACAGAAATTATGAGATTTCTCTGAGGCACTGAACAAAAGAGCAAACATATTTTCATGCTACTCAAAAATAGTCAAAGTGTGTTACTTTTAACATCACTCAACGTACTTATTTATTAGCAGCTCTATTAACAAGAATAAGGGAAATAATTAATTGAGAAAGATCAAAGCTAAATTTTAAATGAACAACACCATAAAAATAAAACATTTGACATTTTCACCAATAATAAATGAAACTTTTACTTGCAAAAACAACGCTACAGAAAACTGCATGTGAAATGTCAAAATGGCTTCTGCAACATGACAGATAAGTAACAGCAATGCTAACTTCTGCACCGTGGTGTTTCAGTAGCAAGGTCACCTTGCTGAAGAGTCCAGTTTGAGCCTTCGCCTCACTATGTGCAGTTTGTGTGTTCTTCCTGCGCATGCATGGGTTTTCACAGAGCACTAGCTTTTCTCAGCAGCTCAAAATGTGCAAGATATTGCATATTGATTCCAAATTAATTTTAGTATGTACATTGCTGTTTTGCTTGTGCATAACTATGTTTGCCCTGTGATGAATTAGAAACCAGAGTGGGTTCAGAAAAAGAATGTACTTGAACCTTAAGCATGACTTAAAAAAACAGTTTATTATCAAAAGACAAAGAGAAAGTGACAAAAAGGCCATTGCAACATGTTCAGGCGTTTGCATGCCACCACCTGAAATAAATGTTTTTCCTCCCCAACTGTAGCTGTTTTCTCACCTGAACCAAGTGGTGTTATTATCTAAACTCAATTATAAAACAACAAAAGCATTTTCGTGATGTGATGTTAGTTACTCTGTCAGAGATAGAAAAAAATGTCCCATGTTCAAAAATTTGAACGTCCCCACCCACATTGACCTTCTTCATGGCCCTTTGTAAGGACACCTATACTTCTTAAACACTTTAAAAATTATTATTATTATTTTTTACGTTGATATGAAAATGTGGCATATTACAGGGATTAATATGAATAAAATCTGGTTCCATACCTATCACCCAGTAGTTTATTTTGGTATGTATATA